GTGCATCTGATGTATTTGCTATGATCAGGACAATACAATAGCAAACATTGTATGATAAATAGCAAAAGATAAAAAAAAGGACAGACCTGGAAAACATTAAAAACGCAATAGCTAAGTGACTGATTTTATTTCAAAATAAATAGAAACTTTTTTATTCCTTAAAATTATCTATACATTGATAGCTCCATTTTTTTCCACGCTTATCATTAATAGATGATTCGAATTTAACCCGGATCTCTTACAATAATTGGTAAAATTCTCATTACATACAATACTTTGATAACAATAAACTACCTCATTAAAAAGTACCGACGATAAGTACGACACACAACAATGGTGGTCAATTTCCAATTTTTCGTATTATTTTTTTGTGTAATTTCTTCATTTTCTATGAAATTTGGGTTATGGTGGCCATCAGAGACGATTAGAGAGAGTGTGAGACACCTGAATACATCTCTAGAAAGCCAGCGAGACTGTTTTCGTAGACCTACCTTCAACTTGCTACCAATTGTTAGTACGATAGAACTGTATGGTGGTACCGCAAAATTAAGAATTTTCTTCAGCGTACATTCATATTTTATAACTGCGATTTTAGTTGTGGGCTTGATTTTTTATCTGATGATCTATCATATGTTTCTAAATACTGTTTTGAAGCTATTTTCTTGTGGCATCTTAATGCAATTATAATTATCGTTGGGAATAAGCCATAATGTTTTTGACTTTTCGATTTCGATTTTATTGTAAGGAAGTTCATTCGATTACATAAAATCAATTGATTAATTTTGTTTTGTAAATAAAGTATTTATGTCAACACTCACTAATATATTATTTGAATTAAATTCACTATTTGATAATTTATTTAAAAATGTTGTGTATTTTTTATAAATATGTCATTTTTATTTGCAAATGGTATAATATGTAATAAAAATGTTACAGTTCACTACAAGGAGAATTCATGGTACTACAAATAGGTCTAAGCAGTGTATTCGCTTTATGAACTTTCGGTACTCCATTAAAATGAGGTATTTTGCTGTAATAAGCTGTAATTAATCTTCTTTGATAATTTGTTTTTCTTCTAGTTTCATGACCGTTATCGATCGTTGGATATCATGTTGGCTACCATATTCGCTATCGTGACTTTATTGATAGCAGCTCTAAATAACAATGTAGTTGATTTTCCATACCATTGCCTTAGATTTTTTAGCCATGATGTTCTTCTTCTACCAGGACTACGATTACCTTGAATATTTCCCTGAATGGTCAAATGTAAAAGATCATATTTTTCAGGGTGTCTCATAATGTGACCGAAGTATTCCAGCTTGCTTTTTTTATTATATTGACCAGTTGTGTTGTTTGATTCAGCCGTCTAAGGAGCTCCTCATTTCTAACTCCAGACCCAGCTTATTTTCAGTAGTCGTCTGTATACCCACATCTCAAAGGCTGTCAAACGTTTAAGGATAGCCTCAGTTAGAGTCCACGCTTCTACTTCATACAGCAGGACAGGAAAGATATAGCAAGATGTCATTCGAACTCGAAGGTCAATGCTAAGATCGTGACTGCTAATTATGTTTCTCATTTTTACAAAAGCAGCTTGGGCTTGTTCTATTCGGCTTTTAATTTTTGCGGTTGGATCCCAGCTCTCATTGATATTACTGCCGAGATACACGAGTTTCTCTATTCTGTCCAGTGTGTGTAACGTTTAAAACGTTACATTTTTGTTCTTATTAATTTCAAAGTACTCTCCATTATTTTCTGCTCATACTATTTGATTTTCGTTAATAATAACTTCTTTTTCCTTTGTTTGTGTTGCTATATTTCATTTCAATATTTTCCTATTACAAATAAATTCACCGATTAATTTCTTACGTCCCCTCGTAGTTATACCTTCGCTTACTTTATCATACAAGAAACAGAAACCCCACCACTAAATAATTTACTTCTATCAATCCGATCCGATTTAATTGCTTTTTAAAATAAACCAGCAAACGACAAGGTACTCAAAAATAAATCTTCGTGGTCAGAAACTTCCAACAGTCTGGCCACCTTCGTTTTGGTTAAAGAAAGTTCACGTTGACCTTGGTTATGGTTAAAGAAAATCTACGTTGACCTTGGTTATGGTTAAAGAAAATTCACGTTGACCTTGGTTTTGGTATAAGAAAATCTACCTTGGTTTTGTTTTGAAAATCCACATGGTTTTTAGATTCAAGAAAATCCAGATGGTTTTGGTTTAGGTTTAGAGGCATAGTTTTTGCAAATAGTTTATGGTTCGAGTTGAAAACAGAGCAACAGCAGGATTTCTATAGAGTTAAGCTAAGTTTCTTTCTTTCTTTGAATTTTGTATATAGATGCTTAATTTTCTGTTGCTAGAACCTCAATTTTTAATTGTTATTACATTTTGATATAAATTAATAAAGATATGTGTCGAAAAATTATTTTATTAATAATTCCTGATTGCTCAAATTAAATTAGTTTATGCCAAACAACACCCCTGAGGGGTTTCAATGTGCAATGGATGAGCTAGTCGTTACATGTGGCTGTAGCCGTTATCCTGTATATAATTTAGTTTGCTAACTATCATATATTTAGATTTCTTAACGTTGAGCTTTAATCCATGCTGATCACAAGTCTGTTTTATTTTGTTCATTAGATTTTGAAGGTCTTCTCCGCAATTAGTAAGCACTAAGGTATCGTCAGCATATCTAATATTGTTGACAGTTACTCCATTCACGATAATACCTTCGGTTGTCTCCATTAAGGCTTCCTTAAATAGTTCCTCCGAATATAAGTTAAAAAGTAAAGGCGACAATATACAGCCTTGTCTTACTCCTCTTTTTATATTTATTTCATCCGACAGTTCTTGTTCAACCTTTATTCTTGCCATTTGATGCCAGTATAGATTTGTAATTATTCGTAGATCTTTATCGTCCAATCCAGCTGTTTCCAATATTTCTTGCATTTTGTTGTGTCGAACTTTGTCAAAAGCCTTTTCAAAATGGATTGCACAAATGCATAGATTTTGATTTATATCTCTGCATCTCTGTACTAGCACCTGTATACTAAACAAGGCTTCTCTTGTACCCAAGCCACTCCTAAACCCAAATTGAGTATTGCTAATTTTGTCCTCTAACAGCGTGTACATTCTGCTGTGTATTACTCGCAGGAAGATCTTCAAAACGTGACTTATCAGACTTATTGTCCGATAATCACCGCATGTCTTTGGACGATGTTTCTTAGGTATTGTGACAAATGTCGACTTTAACCAATCAGTTGGTAATATCCCAGTGTCAAATTCTGTTAAAAAAATTACACAGAGCTTTAATTCCATTTTCTCCCAAAAACTTTAGTATTTCAGTACTTACTTCATCGGGGCCAAGTGCTTTTTCATTTTTTGCCGTTTGTATTGAACGTGTAACCTCACTTTCTGTTATTTATGGACCTGATATAGCAATCGCTGTATAGTATTCTACTCTCTTATCTTCAAATAATTCAAAAATGTAGTTTTCCCATTCTTTTAACTGTTCATTGATGTCTAATATTCTGTGTCCGTTTCTGTCTTCTAAACTTTGGGATACTTGTTTCCATTTGTTTCCAGCGACCTCTTTTAATTTCTTGTGCAGATGAAATGTATCGTGTTTCTTTTCATATTGTTCAATTTCATTATATTCTTTACTATGAAATTGTGTTTTCGCGTGTCTTATCTTCTTCCTGATTATTGCGTGGATCCTCTTGTATTCGTTTTTATCTTTATTTCTGACTTCTCTTCTTTGATCCATAAATCTCAGTATTTCTTCTGTCATCCACCCTTGGATAATTTGTTAAATAATATATTCTTTAAACTTAAATAAAGTTTAGCACAGAGGCTGAGATGTCTTGGACACATAAAGAGAAGGAAAAACGACCTACTGATTAAGAAGATTACCAGATGGAAATTACCAACTGAAAGACCAAAGGAAGACCCAGAGAAAGATGGGAGGACCAGGTCATGAGAGATATCCAAATTGGAGGGAACTATGCACATATCGAAATGAGTGGAAGAAAATTGTAACGAAAGCCGAGTTATACAACAAACCTGGACAACATACAAGTGGAATCCGGAGTGATTCACCGCAATAAGCGAATCAGAGAGCTCTAAGTAAGAACGGCAAACATTCCACTCGGAATGAAAAGCCCTGATGATGATGATGATCCAAAAAAGAATCGATACCACCTTCAATGCCTTCTATTATACTCTTCGGAGTATTTCTTACTCTCCTCTTTTCTGTGTCCTGCCATCGTGCTTCCCCTTAGCTTTCTTTTTTCTTTCGGCTTTTGCCTTCATCTTCTTTGTCTCCATACTCTTTTTCTTCTTCTTCCCTATTCGTTTCTTATAGACTCTCTTCCCCTACCAGTGTCGAGTGTTTTTGGGCACCCGACCTGTTCATTTTTGGCTACTTGCTATGCCAATTTAATAGTTCCAATTTGAATTTTCTCTGCTTTTCTTCGTCTACTATGCCGTCTTTGGCTGTTCTTCCCTATTCACGTTTTTATCTGTAGCGTTGTCCTTATTCGTTTGCGTTTGGTCGTCTTCGTCTTTCATCTTTACATTTTTTGTTTGATTTGGATTCATATGAATTTTTACGAGTCAGAACGTGCTATTCGTGCGATTCATATCTCGAATGGTAATCAAAGCAGTGTTCTGTCCTCAGATGTCAATAAGCCCATTAACCAAAACTTTTATTCTCTTTCAATGTATAATAATAGTATAGTTATTTGTCAATATATGCACTAATCTGACTAAATTTAGCTGCTTTCTTCCTCAATTAACATAACCGAAGAATATTCATTCGTTAGTTATTACCTAGAGGTCAGTAAGTTCAAATAATTCATAATACCAAAACAAGTTTTACTTTTTCTTTAAACCTCCTCGCCTTCTCGTGGTAATTCCAGCGGGCTATTCCCTCGAAGTCGTTGTTCACGAAGGCAAGTGGGACACCGTCATCAAGCAGCGGACAGTTGCCAGTCAGCCTTCAACTGTTCTTTTGGCTATGTGATTTTTTCCGTGTCCATCGAGTGTGTTATAACGAAGAAGTCGAGGAACGACTTTGAAATTTTGTTATCGCGCCTAGCAGATGTCCTCCGCTCTGCTGATTAACGTGCTCTCAGTGATTGTGTCAATTAGAATAACAGACTTTTTCTTGTGAAAACTGTTCGGTTTTATTCATTCATAGAGGCTATTATCGGGACAATTGGTTGAAAATTGTAAGTATTAGACTCAGATAATTGTTTGACTTAATGCAGATTGGTGTCTGGGATACACTAATTAATATATTTAGTTGTTATTAGCAAGACTTGTCGATGTATTCCAAGACATTTAGTTAAATCCACTTTATATTACTAGAATTAACTATTGGTTTTCACCTAATTAGTTCAAGAAACTGTTATTATTATTATTTTTTCAACATCCCATTTATTTACAATCTGTAATAAGGATTACAATACGTAAATTGTTTGCAAGAGAATTGCAGAAGATTGTCCAGTGACAATACTCTATTAAATCATAATTTTAGTAACAAAATTAGTAACAAAAAAATAAATAAAAGAAAAAATTTCAATTTAAAAATTTAAAATCTTGTTGGTAGATCACTTGGAGTAAGACGCTTTAGCATTCTGTTTGCCTGGAGCCTCCCTCATAAGGTTATTCGCTAGCCTGTTGAGTGATTTTTGCAATCGTCTGTCATATTTTTGGGAGTAATTGGCAATTTCTTCTTTGACAGTTTATATCTGAAGATTGCAATTGATGAATACATTGGGCATGTACCACGGTTCATTTGTGATAATGCGGAAGGTCTGCGATTGGAATCTCTCCAGTATGTCGATATTGGATCTTGACGCAGATCCTCACAGTGGGATCCTATAGCTCTATATTGACTTTATCACTGACTTCTATACTAGGATTTTATTAATTACTATTTAACTGGGAATAAGCCACAATTAAAGATCAAAATACGTTTATTGACGTTTCAATTTCCACTTCGAAAATCGTTCTCAAAATACAAACAGTAAATTAAACAAATTTTGTTTTTTGTTACATAGTGAAAATTCTTCTAAGAATTTAATTTTTTCTGACTCATTTATATTGACAATTCAGACATACATTATGCATTTTAAAGTAGACGACTTTAAAATGATATCGCCAATATTGTTGAGTTGCGCTCCTGGGACGACTTTACTTATAAGATAGTTCATTTGATTACATGAAATCAACTTTACCTTGAGAATATCCGTCAGAAAAAAATCATAGCATGTAATTCGTCTTTAAAAAGACAAACACATGACATGATGACAGTAAAATTCTCCTGTTAGTGATTCCATAGTAAATTATGAGGGAAAAACCAAACCTAACAATGAACAAGAAAGAACAAATAATTGCATTTATAAAATACCTTGTGAATGCGATCAGTTTTATTTAGGTGAATCATCAAGGCCATTAAATGTTAGAATTAGTGAACATCAATCTTATATTAAAAATAGAGAATTTGATAGATCTCAAATATGTAAATACGCATGGGATAATCAACATAGGGTCCAGTGGAATAATTCAAATGTAGTCCTAAAAGAAACGGATGCTAAAAATCAAAGAAGCGGCTCTAATTATGCTAAATGAGGCCAATTGTGTCGCAAATTCCTCGGCAGAATGTAGTAGGATCTGGTTACCAATATTGAAAGAGGAAGTTATTAATAAGAAAATACCAGTATTAGTAAGTCAGTAACATATAGAGGATACATCATTTATGTTTTTTAAATAACGTAACATATAATATCAGAATTTTAATGTTTGTTGAAGGTAAACTAAATTCACGAACAAATACAATGTCGGAATAGTATTATGAGGTTTTTTTCCTGGTTTTTCCCTCATAATTTACTATGGAATCACTAACAGGAGAATTTTACTGTCATCATGTCACGTGTTTGTCTTTTTTAAAAAGACGAATTACATGCTAGGATTTTTTTCTGACGGATATTCTCAAGCTAAAGTTGATTTAATGTAATCGAATGAACTATCTTATAAGTAAAGTCGTCCCAGGAGCGCAACTCAACAATATTGGCAATATCATTTTAAAGTTGTCTACTTTAAAATGCATAATGTATGTCTGAATTGTCAATATAAATGAGTCAGATAAAATTAAATTCTTAGAAGAATTTTTCACTATGTAACAAAAAACAGAATTTGTTTAATTTACTGTTTGTATTTGGAGAACGATTTCCGAAGTGGAAATTGAAACGTCAATAAACGTATTTTTATCTTTAATTGTGGCTTATTCCCAGTTAAATAGTAATTAATTTACAATGCCACAAGAAAATAGCTTCAGAACAATATTAGGATTTTATTGTACAAATTCAGTAATCTTTTTCCTATTGGCCAGTACATTTTACTGAGTTTCAGACCCAACCGTTTTCTTTTCGTGAATATGTGTTTCTTCCACGTTAATCTGCGGTCCAGGTGCATACCTAAGTATTTTACATCATCCTTTTGTTGCAGTATTTGGTTATTTAATGAGACGGTTGGGCATGTACCTTTTCGATTAGTGAACGTTATATTGTACTGACTTGCTTTCGTTAAATTTAATTCGCCATGTTTGTAACCAAATCTTTATTTTCTCGAGATGGGTCTGGAGCAGTTGTGAGGTGATATACGGGTTCGAGTGAGCCGCAAGGATTGCTGTGTCGTCTACGTATGTGACTGTGATGATGTTTTGACTTGGAGATAGATCTGCTGTGTAAAGTAGGTAGAGAACAGGTGCAAGGACACCACCTTGAGGTACTCCAGCTTTAATTTGATATAAGTTAGTGCACTGATCCTTTACTTTTACAAGGAAATGCCGGTCGGAAAGATAGGACTTGAGAATTAGTCTTATTTTGTATAACAGGTCAATGTGCCAGACTTTATCAAAAGCCTGCGAGATATCGAAAAAGGCTGCAGAATAGTATTTCTTTTCTTCTAAGGCTTTGTTTATGGAATTGCAGATTCGGTGAATTTGCTCAATGGTAACATGCTGTTGTCTAAATCCAAACTGGCGGTTGGGTATTAGCTACTATTGTACGAGCATTGGCTGTAATCTGACTAGTATTAGTTTTTCAAAAACCTTTGACATCACTGAAAGTATACTGATAGGTCTATAGGACTTAACTTCTTCTACAGGTTTGCCTGGTTTGGTATTAAAATGATCTGTGCAACTTTTCACAAAAGGGGATAGTAACCAGTTCTTAGGATTGCGTTAAAAATCTGTGTTAAATGCACTCCTTTCTTGAGAAGTTCTATTAGAATTTTTGCAGTGATTAAGTCGAACCCTGGGGACTTCTTCAGGTTCAGATCTGTTTGGATTTTGTTGAAAACTTGTTTGGCAGTGAATTTCTCCAGTGGTGCTTCTAGTTGGTATGGAGATTCTAAATACGATTGTTGTATATTATCTTTTGTATCGGGGATATTGTTTTGAGTATGTGGTTGGTATTTCTCAAAGACTGTGGCTTTTTCTTTGTTACTTTTGGCCCATTATCCGTTAATGGCCCGGATATGCGGATTAGAAAATTGTGGTCGATTAATTTTTCGTGTTGCTTTCCATAGTATTCGGAGGCTTCCATGGTATATAGATTTTGTAAATATCGTTTTATGTCATTGTTTTTATTGTTGTTTAACAATGTTTTTAATCTTGCTGTAGCTTGTATTAATCTTTTTTTATCGTGAGGTGCTCGGGTTCTTTGCCAGATTTTCCTTAGTCTTCGTTTTTCTGCGATTTTTTTTATTTCGTTGGGTAAGTATTTTTGTACGATTGCTCTTGCAAGGCCTCTTGGTCTTGTGTCAGCTCCTCAGACCATGTGTCGTCTGATGGACTTAGTCATTGGTCCACAACTGGAACCATATGTGTTTTATTACTTAGATGATATTATAGTTGTAACTCCTAATTTTAATTTACATATTGAGATTTTAGAGAAAGTATTTTCTCGCCTTCAAGAGGCGAATTTAACTGTTAATATAGAAAAATGTAACTTCTGTCGTCCTAATCTTAAGTTTCTGGGATATGTTGTTGATAGTCGAGGTTTGCAGACAGATCCTGATAAGGTAACTGCTATTAAGGATTTTCCAATACCTAAAACCACTACTCAACTACGTAGGATCTTGGGAATGTGTGGGTATTATCGTCGGTTCGTACCTTCCTACTCCACCTTATTGTCCCCACTTACTGATCTCCTTAAAAATAGGAAAAAGGGCCAGACTATTACCTGGACTTCTGAAGCCGATGATGCCTTCCGGCTTATTAAAGAAGCTCTCACTAGTGCTCCTGTCATGATGTCTCCAGACTTTAACGAACACTTTTATCTCATGACAGATTGTTCCAATACTGCTTCAGGTGGTGTCCTCTTTCAGATGAAAGATGGAGCGGAACACCCTATAGCTTACACTAGTAAGAAGCTCAACAAGGCTCAGAAGAATTATTCCACTACAGAGCGTGAACTCCTAGCTATTATTCATGGCTTAGAGGCGTTTCGGTATTATTTAGAGGGTCGTAAGTGTACACTCATTACCGATCATAGCTCTTTATTATGGCTACATTCCATGCGTAACCCATCACAACGTTTATCCGTTGGATTTGCAAACTTTCAGCTTTTGACTATAATATCGTACATCGCAAAGCCAATGGTGTCGTAGTAGCTGATGCCTTGTCGCGTACTTTTGATGTTAATATTCTTGATTTGGCTACTTTAATTCCAGATGCATGGTATCAAAAGATGTTGGTTAGGGTTGCTCAAGAACCGGATCGGTATCCTGATTTCAAGGTGGAAAACAATGTTCTTTACAAACATATTGTTAGTTCCACAGAAATTTTAAGTAATATGTCGGATTGGAAAATAGTAGTCCCCACAGCAAATAGGGATGAAATCTTGACTTCATTTCATGATAATGTGACAGCAGGTCACTTTGGGTTTTATAAAACATTTAGTAGAATAGCTGAATTATACTATTGGCCTGGCATGCGGTATGCAATTAAACGATATATATCCAGATGTAAAGTTTGTGCTACATGCAAGCCCAGGAATATGCCACAAGCTGGATTAATGGGTTCCTTTAGGAACATTAACTTCCCATGGCAAATGATCTCTATGGATCTTATTGGACCATACCCCCGTAGTTACAATGGGAACACATATTGTTTGGTAGTCGTTGACTATTTTACAAAATTTCCTTTAGTTTTTCCGCTTCG